AAACTCGAAGTCAGCCCACGTAATTAATGTATAATGTTAGTCCTGAGTGATAATTATAACAAACTATATTTATGATGAGTAATTAAGTAGTATAAGTTTACTTAACCGCGTAATTTTCCCTTAAAAATTTAAATGACATGTCTAAACAAAACTATAAACTTCAATCTAATATGATTTAATATAATGGTTTCAAATGATATACGAACAATTTTGTTTATGCGTGTCCGTACCGAATAGCCAGTGCATTGTTTAACTCTATCCTTTTGCAATGGGGGATCTAGGATTTTAGTGACGGATTTAGGATTTTAAAGTTGTGGGTGTTTGAGTCAAAAATATAAAAAAGACATGTTAAAAGTGAGATTCGAACTCAAGTTCAGCAACACAAAAAGAGCCTTAAACGCCCACCAAAAGCCAATGGACCAATCGAATCATTTATTCATTGGGTGCTCTATGTTAATTTTATACAAATACCTCTTAATTTCAACATAGATATATATATTCCGAGACAAGTTAATGGGGGTTCGAGCATGCTGAGAACACCATGTGGGTCCGCCCCTGCCCTTTTGGTTATTTTATGAGAGTTGGGATTAGGGGAAATGAACATAGAGCTAGAAAGAAGAGGTAGCCCAAACATCTCCTTCCTCCTCTGTGCTTTATTTGATTATTCTCTTCCATTCAAGTAAAGTTGTCTGCTTTTAATCAATTTTTGACAGGCAAAGTGCATTAAGTTGGTGTTTGGAGCAAATTTTTGTTTCTTTCTCATTTAATTTGGGGATATTCAATCCATCTTCATAGAAGCTTTTTCTTATTTGAAGTTTTATTTGTAAGTTTTGGTTCAAAGACCCTTACTACCTACTTCTATGTACCTAACACATTTAATTTTATAGTTACCAATAGACTGTTCCAATAGCAATAATTGAATAGAGTAGACTTCATATAACTTTGTCCCAAATATCATCTCTTTTTACAATCCACACACTTGATCTTTTTCTTCTCAAATTTTAAAAACTTAACTGAATTCATGGCATCAACTTCTTCTTCTTGTTCTGGGTGCTGTCCTCGATGGAAGTACAATGTGTTCTTAAGTTTTAGAGGTGAAGATACTCGTAAAACAATTATAGGTTACTTGTATGAACGTTTGACAAGGAAGGGAATAATTGCCTTTCAAGATGATAAAAGGCTAGAGCGTGGCGATTCAATCCCAGAAGAACTCTTGAAAGCTATCCAAGACTCTCAAGTTGCCCTCATCATTTTCTCAGGGAATTATGCTACATCGAGGTGGTGCTTGGATGAACTAGTGAAGATCATGGAATGCACCAAGGATGAAAATGAAAAAATAGTCATGCCGGTATTCTATGGTGTGGAACCATCACATGTTCGAAACCAAAGTGACAGCTTTGCTGAAGCATTTGCCGAACATGAATCAAAGTATAAGGATGATGGTGAGGGGATGCAGAAGGTGAAAGAATGGAGGACTGCCCTAACTGCTGCCGCAAATCTAAAAGGATATGTATTCGGTAATGGGTGAGTTAAACTGAAATCAACGGAATAATTTATGATGACTAGCTACACATAATTATATTTTTCTATAGAACAAAGAATCTGTACTTCAAAAATGATAAACAAAATCATAACTAACTTATTCACATTTTCTGAAAATAGAATGATGGTTGATTATATATGTTTCTATCTGTAAGAGTTTGGTTTCCAAGCATAGTCCTTATTCTTACAATCATAATTATGGACTCTACAATGCGAAATACTTCTTATTCTTGACTATTTTTATATGTACATATTAGCAATATTTTTTTTTGTAGGGTTGAATCTGACTATATTGAGTGTATTGTTGATGAAATTTCGTTCAAATGCAAGAGTTCAGTATCTTATTTGCACAAAGTTGTGGGAATAGATGCTCAATTAGAGAAAGTAGAATCCCTACTAAAGATGGAAATCAATGATGTTCGGATTGTGTGGATCTGGGGAATGGGGGGAGTCGGTAAAACGACAATAGCAAAGACTATTTTTTATAACCTCTCGTCCAAATTTAAAGATGGTTGTTTCCTTGAGGATATCAAAGAAAACAAACATAGAATGCACTCTCTGCAAAATATCCTTCTCTCTAAACTGTTAGGGGAAAAAGAAAATTGTGTGAACAATAAGGAGGAGGGGAAGCACCTGCTGGCTCGTAGACTTCGGTTTAAGAAGGTTTTAATTGTGCTTGATGACTTAAATCACATAGACCAGTTGGATTACCTAGCAGGGGATCTTGATTGGTTTGGCAATGGCAGTAGGATTATTGCAACCACTAGAGACAAGCGTTTGATAAGGAAGGGTGTAGTACATGAAGTGGAAACACTACTTGACTGTGATGCTATTAAACTGTTCAATCAATATGCTTTCATGAAAGAAGTTCCTGATGAGTGTTTTAAGGATCTAATGTTGAAGATAGTAAGTCATGCTAAAGGCCATCCTTTAGCGTTGAAAGTGTGGGGTTCTTCATTACACGGGAAGGGTATAATTGTGTGGAGAAGTGCTCTAGACCGAATGAAGAAAAACCCTGGTTCAGAAATTATTGAAAACCTCAAAATAAGTTATGATGGGTTGGAGCGTGAAGAGCAAGATATATTTCTAGATATAGCATGTTTCTTCCGAGGAAATGAAAAAAAAGAAGTCATGCAAATCCTTGAGAGTTGTGATTTTCCAGCTGAATATGGATTGAGCGTCCTTATTGACAAATCTCTCGTGTTCATCTCTAGCCATAATAAAATTCAAATGCATGACTTAATACAAGATATGGGTAAATATGTAGTGAAAATGCAAAAGGATCCGGGCGAACGTAGCAGATTATGGCTAGCTGAAGATTTTGAAGAAGTGATGGTCAATAATACGGTAAGTAGGCTAAACAATGCAATACTATTCAATTTTTGATTTTTCATATTCCAAATACATATAAGGTTGATTCCCAATTTTCAATTATCCATTTCTCTTACTTCATATGCTCTGCTTAAGTCATTTTAGTTGTTTACTTTAGAAGGAGAAGCAAAAGTAGCATTAATTTCCTAATGCTGCCTAATTCGTTTTTCTTATGTTATTAAGCCATGAACTAGTCTAGAATACAGGCACTTTATCTGTTTAATCCAATTTCATTCCTTGGATTAACTTGAAATTTGTGTGATATTTTGTATGTAATAACTCAACCAGGAATTCACTTTACCATTGATTGTTTTTCATTTTAAAGAAACTATGTTTCAATAACAGTTCCATTCTAACATTGCATTGCATGAAAAGCTTTTAGACTTGAGTCTAAAGAACTTTTCAGAAAATGTAATAATAGAAAATAGAACTACATTATTAATTGCTCAAAGTAAACTAATGATCTTTTTTATCAGGGAACCAAGGCAACGGAAGCAATCTGGTTTCGTTATCGTCAAGAAATATGCTTTAGCAAAGAGGCCATGAATAGTATAAAAAACCTTAGGATTTTATACATATGTCAGGAGCATGCATTCACATGCATCAATTGCCATGATGGCTCCATTGAGTACCTTTCTAACAACTTGCGTTGGCTTTCCTGGAATCATTATCCTTGGGAGTCATTGCCAGCTAAATTTGAACCCAAAAAGCTTGTTTATCTTCAACTAAGGTTCAGTTCACTGCGTCATTTATGGACCGAAACAAAGGTACTAACATTTTTTTTTTCTTTAGCTACAATTTGTTTCAATCCTTTCTAAATAAGTTTAACAATATTCTTGTTTAGGCAGCATACCTTAAACCCTCCTAAACATGGCACGTTTTATTCGGTACACGCCTAAACTTTATGTTATCTTAATTATCCCACAAACGTGACTGTTTGTAGATGATAACAAATAAGTCAATTCTGGTTGGCCGGAATGCACACCATATATATATATATATTTTTATTTTTTTTAGAAAAAGCCCAAAATCATCCCTTATCATTGGCATTAGATTCAAAGCCATCTCTTTTCTTTCACATGGAGCTCTAATAGTTCTCCATCTTGTTAATTTAAAAGCTCAGCTCCTGTGCACATGACATTCACGTGAAAAAATTCTCCATTCATTCTGATGGAATGTTTACATCACATTCTTCTAAATTGTGGCTCCAACAACTAATGGTTATCAATAGTGATTATCGGTGGCACTGCAACAAATTTATCCCCAAAACTTATAAAATTTCAAATTTCAAATAGGTACCGAATAATTGGAGAAGAGCTTTGTGCACAATCCCAACATATAGAGAACCGAATCACTAAAAAACAAATATCAACAAATTTCAATCCCTGAAGTTGTGCCTATTAATGCATCATGTGAAAGAAAATGGATGATTTTAAATTTAATGATAAAGATAAGGGATGACTTTGGGCTTTTTCTCGAATTTTTATGATAATTCTTTTACCTAGCTGTTCTTGTTTTTCTATCTCATTCTGAACAGTATTTGCGGTCCCTACAAAAGCTAGATCTCAGGGACTCAAAAGCTTGACACGAACACCAGATTTCACGGGATCTTGTAGTAATCTTAAAGAGGTTCATGATTCCCTGGGATGTTCTAGAAAACTCATTTGGTTAGATTTGAGTGATTGTGGCCGCCTTAAGAGGTTTCCATGTGTTAACTTGGAATCTCTTGAATATCTGACTCTACAATATTGCTCTAGTTTAGAGAAATTTCCAGAGCTCCTAGGAAGAAGTAACCTGGAGTTAGAGATTTCGGTGAGAAGCACTGGGATAAGGGAACTACCAGCATCTATTCTGTACCAGACTCATATTACCAAGCTAGATTTAAGTCGTTTAGAAGACCTCGTAGCTCTTCCAAGAGGCATCGGAATGTTGAAAAGCTTGGTGGATCTATATTTGTGGGGTTGTAAACAACTTGAAAGCTTGCCAGAGGAGGTAGGAGATATAGAAAACTTGAAGATGCTTGATGCCCAACAAACTCTAATTTCACGACCTCCGTCTTCCATCATGTGCTTGAACAAACTTAAATCCTTAAAGTTTGGAAAAGATATTGAAGAAATAGGGTATTCAGAAGGCTTAGAAGATGAAGTGTACTTTGTGTTCCCTCCGGTGGCAGAAGGGTTATGCTCATTGGAATATCTGGATCTTGGTTACTGCAATTTAATAGATGGAGGACTTCCGGAAGACATTGGATGCTTATCCTCTTTGAAAAAGTTGTATCTCAATGGAAATAATTTTGTGCATTTGCCTCGAAGCATTGCCCATCTTGGTGCGCTTCAATCTTTGAACATAAAAAATTGCAAGAGACTCAAAGAGTTGCCAGATTTCACCAGGATGCCAAATTTGGAGTATTTGTATCTCAGATCTTGTAGTAATCTTGAAGAGGTTCATGATTCCCTGGGATGTTCTAGAAAACTTATTCAGTTAGATTTGAGTGATTGTGAAAGACTTCAGAGGTTTCCATGTGTTAACGTGGAATGTCTTGAATATCTGGATCTACGAGATTGCTCTAGTTTAGAGAAGTTTCCAGAAATGCTCGGAAGAATGAAGCCGGAGTTAGAGATTTACATGAGACCCTCTGGGATAAGGGAAATACCACCATCTATTATTCAACAACAAGCATGTCTTACAGAGCTAAATTTGAGTTATATGATAAACCTTGAAGCTTTTCCAAGCAACATTTGTAAGTTGAAGGGTTTGGTGAAGTTAAATGTATCGTACTGCCCAAAACTTGAAAGCTTGCCAGAAGAGATAGGTGATTTAGAAAACTTGGAGTGGCTTGATGCCACATGGACTCTAATTTCACGACCTCCTCCTTCCATTGTCCACTTGAACAAGCTTAAATTCTTAAGTTTTAAAAAATATAAATCAAAAGATGGAGTGTGCTTTGTGTTCCCTCAAGTGAATGAAGGGTTACACTCATTGGAACATTTGAATCTCAATCACTGCAATCTAATAGATGGAGGACTTCCGGAAGACATTGGATGCTTATCCTCTTTGAAAGAGTTGTATCTCTGTGAAAATAATTTTGAGCATTTGCCTCGAAGCATAACCCAACTTGGTGCTCTTCTATCCTTGGACTTATCACAGTGCAAGAGGCTCAAAGAGTTGCCAGATTTCACGGGGATGCCAAACTTGGAGACTTTGAATCTGTCAAATTGTATGAATCTTGAAGAGGTTGATCATTCCGTGGGATTTCTCAAAAAGCTTTGTACATTAAAATTGACTAATTGTAAAAGGCTTAAGATGTTTCCAGTTCTGTGCATTGATTCCCTTGAATATATGGGTATGTGTGGGTGTTCTAGTTTAGAAAATTTTCCAGAAATCATCGGAAGCATGCAAGTGGAGTCAGAGATTCACATGCTAGACAGTGTGATGAGGGATCTAAATTCGGTGTATATTTCATTTCCTGATTCCTTGTCTCAGAGTATCATTTCCTTGCAGCATGACATCTCTGGTTCAGATTCCTCGTCACTAAGAGTGTTTACCATTGAGCATCCTGGGAAGAAGATCCCAAGATGGTTCCACCATCAGGGAATGGATAAAAGTGTTTCAGTCAATTTGCCTAAGAATTGGTATGTATCAAATAACTTTGTGGGATTTGCTGTATGTTACTCTGGCTGCTTAACTGAAACCACAGCTCAATTGATTCCCTTGTGTGATGATGGCATATCGTGGATGACCCTGGAAGTGAAATCATCCCACCATTCAAAATGGATTACAGAACCTAAGATTCATTTTTTCTTGGTACCTCTTGCTAGATTATGGGATCCATCTAAGGCAAATGGAAAAACACCAAATGACTATGGAATTGTTAGATTATCTTTCTCTGGAAAAATGAAGGAGTATGGATGTCGTTTGTTGTATAAAGATGAACCAGACCTCGAAGCCTTGTTACAAATAAGGAAAAATAATGATAAACCAACAGAGAACTCCATGAGCAATGAAGCCAGCTGCTCCTCTTGTAAGAGACATTCTAATATTCGTGGGAGAGTCACCAGTCTCTTCAGAAACTTTGCAGCTCTTTCGTGCAAACCCAGGAATTTCTCTTAAATATTGGTAATATACCACATGACTTGTTTTCTTTTTCTAGCTGGTTGTGAAATTGTGTTCTCTCTCTTTTTGTCAATTGATTCTCCATTCTGTCTCTGTTTGTTATGAACCATGATTAACCATGGTTGGTTAAAGGATGTGAACAAGTTTAATCTTTCGATACTCAAGTCAGATCCTGGAATCATGCTATCTTAACTCTGTTCTTACCTTGAAGTACTCACAAGTCAAGAATTTTAACTTGATTGCTTTACTAACAGTTCCGATGTGAAGGACTAGGCTGTCTCCTAAATAATTACAGTAAATATCATATTCGTTTTGTGCTGGAACCATTAAGGGTGAGTGCTTAATTTAGCCATGTGTTGATTAGTTACGGAGCTAGTTTTCCTCTAAGAAGTAAGATTTTGGTGGGGTTTTCAGGCATATGTTGGTTAAGCAAGGGCAAGAGTTTGAGGAAAAATCAGAAGCTCTTTGTCGAATGGTGGGACGACTCAGTTTAACACTTCTGCACTAAAACATTTTCTTGTTGAAAGGTATCATGCTCTCTAACTTGAGCAATACACTTCTCTTTAGCAGGATCCATTTTCATATTTGTACCAAGTTAAACATGTAGTTTCAATTTAGGATAGAGGGAATAAAGCAACATTTTATAGAATAAACAACTGTAAGAAATAAAAGCATTAAATATTTTTCTACTAAAAGTTCCTGCATTGGGAATTTGTTTCAGTAGAATTTTAATAGCAGAAGTACCATATAATAATATTATGTAGAGCTCTGTGCTTCATCATTGACTAATGATTTGATCTGACCTTTGAGGGAGCAAGTGAGTGAGAGAGGGAAAGAAGTCTCTGGAAATTTTGAAGTTGCTAATTTCTCAAGTATGTAATGTTGGATAAGGTCACACGAAGCATCGTTGTGTGATTAAATATAGTCAGCAGCAGCCCTTGCATGTTATACTATGCCACAAGATTGAGTAGTTCACAAGCATGTATTATAATATGTTTTTCAATCTTTATCTGAAAAAATCGATGTATATGAAGGTCTTGAGATACGTTGGAGTCGTGGACGCTGCCAACAGAAAAGGGACTGTCGAGCTGCAAAGATACAGTAAGGAACACCCATTTGCACAACTCTCAGGATCGGATGCATGGTCCGGGTGCTGGGGCTGAAGTGACAGCTGGTCGAGATTCTGTGACATCTGGCAACTTGCTAGGTAGCCGCTGATCCATGGCTACGAACTTACTAATAGTTACATTTGGGGAAATCTCTGTTTTTACTTTTAAATAAAAATTTCTCTTTTTATGGTAGGGATTTGGGTAAAAGATGAAACATTTGACATCAGAGATGGTGGAGGAAGCTGGAGTACGAGGTGGAATCGAGGTTTGTTATCCCTCGTGAAGGTGAAAATAAGCAACAAAGTCTTTTTGTCAACTTGGCTATTACATCAGATAATTACAGAATACTAATTGTAGTAGAGTTAAAGGCTCATGATTTTTCTAATTTCTTGAAAAATATTCAGTCCTAGAGTATAATACCAAATGTTACTTAGAAACCCTTTCCTCTCAAAACTGTTTGCGCCCCTTCATGGTTAGATGTGATGTGATCCTTTCAAATTAAGAATGTATGATCTTTCTTATCCTACTGTATGTTGGTTCTCGTTGACATAGATCTTGATAAAGTAGTGCTAACCTGTTATGAATCTTTAGGGAAGGATCGATTCACAAGGCGATATATAAATCAGCTCGTTAAAGGGAGGCTGAAACCTTAGAATTCATTAAAAGAGAACTCTGATCTCTTCAGCGACACTGAAACCTTAGAGTTCAATGGAAGAGAGAACTCTAATCTCCTGCTTTTTGCTGAATTATGACTTACTAATTTATTCATCAAAAGCCCCTTTAAATAGGAGTCTTATTACATCAATAGGAAGTCTAATTCTTATGAGAGTAGGAGACCTAAATCCTATTCCAAACTAATAACTATAACTTAACCTAATCCTTATGAAACTCTGAAACTAAACCTTATTCTAGAATAATAAATAAAGCAACTAAAAATATAATTAAATATTTAAATTAATGACTTCCAACGCATCCCTAACATGACCTCTATAGCTGGATTACGTTTAAGTAATTTTAACAGGTTTCAGCCTTTTGGATTTGGATTATTTTTGCAGTGCAAAATGGGAACATGGTATTTGAGAACAGAACTGCATACAGACAACACATATTTCCCCTGTTTGTAATAGAACTGGATTATATTCTTGTGGTCAGAAAGAGTTTTGCAAAGAACTTTGTAATCTGTATAGTTCTAATCTTTGTAGAGGTGATGTGAGTGACAAATCTTTTGCACCAGAATATCTAGTTTTATTATGAAATGAATTCACAACTTTGAGTGTGCTGACAAGTAGCTTCCAAAAATCATTTGCAGATGAATGTGCGCGAAGCAGGAAAGCTGTGCCAAAACGGATGGATGAAAGAAGTCTTGGAACTATCACATCAGAAAGCACAAGTGGTCCAAATGGGAACTATTTCCAAGAATATTTGAATGTAGTTACCAAGGTCTACTGACGAAGCGTAGTTATCTACATGGTACAAGTAGTTTGTGTATATGAAGCATGCGGATTAAGTAGTTTGTGGCTTTCAAATCCATACTCATATGTGCTGCTCCAACTTCAATAATTTATCCAATCCATCTACATGGATGCTAATCTAATCAGTACTATTGAAAACTCACCAACTTATGGAAAGATCCTCAAGATTCAATTTGTTTTATAAACTTCTCTATTTTTATGTAAAATTATAGTATTTCTTCGCTAGTACATGTAAGAAGTTGTTGTCTTTAAGAGATGCTACTGAATACTGATGAACACCTTAAATCCTGCAGTCTTTGTCAATGCTGAGTTTCCAAGGAGCATGTCGGAAAGAGGCTTGCACAATTTAAGAAATCTGACGGTGATAAAGTCATTGAAAATTCCACAGATGAAAAACATCTACCTGTGAAAGGATATCTACCTAATCCTCCTCTTTCAACTTTTGTTAAAGTAATTGGTATTGCTGACACTAACAAGTCTATCCAAGCAGAAACTTGGAACCTGTTTAGGTGAAGTTTATTGAAGTTAAATGAAAAGGAAACAATTTAACTATTAATTGATGAAGCTAATGACTGTTGAAGGTGATGCAGAAGCAACAGAAAATTAACTCTTTCGACAGATCGAAATCCATACAGCCCAAGGGTAAATGTCACAACTCTTTGTACAAAATTAGTTTGTCAAACTGAAGAGAGAGAACATATCGAAACTCAAAAGTGACAATTAAGCACGGATTTCAAGTCCTTCCCTTTTAGCTTTCCTAAGGCCTTTGAAGAACCACCAACTGTCCTGCAATCGGAAACTTGCAAGTTCAGTATCTTTCTGTCACAACCATATGTAACTATATATCTAGACGACTGTAAGAAAAAGACACTTGCCCTTCAAAACGTAATTTCTTCTCCTCTTGTAACTCTAAGATTTTCTCTTCAATTGTATTCTTAGTCATAAATCTCACAATCCTGCAAATTTGAAAACAACAATAAGCTAAGCTCCATTCAATGGCTCCAAAGTGCACGAAATATGGAACATACTTGACTGGTTTATGTTGCCCTATTCGACGGATTCTATCTTGGGCTTGCTGCTCCACCGCAGGATTCCACCAAGTATCCATTATGAAAACCTAGCAAAGATGAAGAGATGAGCCACCTAACATGACACGTATCATGTGCTTATTCAACAGATAAATACAAGTCATAATTGTAAGAAAATGAATCCTTACATGTGATACAACTTTAACATCAAGGGCAATGCCTCCATCTTTCAAGCTCATAAGCAGTATTGCAATCTGAATCCTTAGTGAATTTGTCAACTGCAGCATCTCTTGCAGTAATAGACAATTGATGCCCGACAGCTGAATACAGACAATGCAAGTTCCCTTAATTGTTAGTCTGAAAGGGAAAGTAAGAAGGGAGAAAGTACCATTATGTCTTACATTAAGAGAACGTTGTATCAGATCCAAAAAAGATGTGAACTGGCTAAAAACTACTCCTTTTGCAGAACCGTCCCTTTCAACCATGATGCTAATTTCTTCCTTCTACATTCAATAAAAGTAAAAAATGAGCATCAAGCATGTAATTAGCAGACCCCCTCAATTCGAAACTCAAGATGGAGTTTCGTACTATAAAATAGAGATATATAGCAATACAAGAAAAACAAAACTGAGGAGAATATGATTATAATGTAGAGTGCAATTGCATACCAAAGCTTCTAATTTAGTGCTTGTCTTGAATTCATTTAGCTGATTTTTTTTCGATATACTTGAGGAGCTAAACCCTTTGCCAGTAGGTTCAGAATTAGAATCTCCCTTATCATTATTCACAGTGAACTCAAATGTAAGGGGTTCGGTACATGAAGGGCATGCCATCCTCTCCGTACTTTCAGCAAAATCTATCAAACATGCCTTGCAAAATACGTGGCTGCAAGATGTAACCTGAAACAATCAAAAGAGATGAACAGTTCAGAAAAGATAAAGACTTTATACTAGAAGTATTTAAAACTGTTCAACACAAGTAAATGGCATTTGAAGGTTCAACATACAATAGATAGGCTGACAATGAGAAATTGAAAGGAGAGAGCTATCAAATTAAACTTCAGCTGTGGGCAGTGGGTAGAGGTGCACAAACTCACTACTGGATCTTCCACTGCATCCTGACATAAGTCACATGCTTGTTCAACATCTCCAGCCTCTTTATTGCCACAAGCTACAAGGTAAGGATGATCAACTACCTGTCAATTAAAGAAAGACAATGGCCAAATTTTGTTAATGAACCGTAGTAAAACAAACACATTTATGCGAGGCAAGTTCAGACAAAAGCAAAGAAAAGTCAGTGTCTGTATTTGAGTTCATAGAATAGGACAAGAAAACTAAAAGCAGTCACTTCAAAATTAAGTTCACGAAAAAATGACTAGCACAAAATAGTAGCTTTGACATGAAGAAATAATTTGAGGAAATAACTATGTTTACTAGCCATTAGCAGTCGTCTGTTACGTCTTCCACTAGTCCAAATTTGTGACAACTAGTAGGGACAGGTCAAGAGAACCAACGTCGGAGGAAAACAGCCCCATGACGGGAGGAGTTGGTGTAAAGAAAGGGAAGCCTTTGCTCTTATCAGTTTATATATCCAAGGAGTAAAATGTCATTTTCAGTCTAATCCGGAGAAACTCCACACAAGTATTTTATCCAGTGATCCACACATGACAAGCATTGTCTTGGTACCTGCCGTAGGCGTACGATCATAGCAAACATGTGAAAATAGTTTTTCATCAGAGTTCCAGCATGGACACTGCACCAAATATGAAAATAGATTTTTTATCAGAGACAGGTAAAGGTGACTTGAAGGATGAAATGGTCGAGTTTGAAAATGAAATGTCAGAGAGATAGTATACCTATAGAATTGTTCTCGACTTCTACGGAACAATGACTTGTAGGTTTTATATTCATCAGTATCCAAAGAAACTTTCCTCGTTCTAACCTAAACCCCAAAAAGGTAACCAGTAAGAAGATTCTTTTCAAATTTAAGCACACAGCACTACTGCAATACAGAACTTACAGTCTTTGTTGGAAGTGCAAGATCAGCAACTCTTTCTTTTTTGGTACGTTCTAGCATTATATTTTTCAGAATTCTGTGATTCAACAACACCATCGCATCTCTATCCTCCTCATCATATATCGGCTTTACAGGTATTTCAATATACTAGAAAAAAAGAAGAAGATGCTTCAACTTTACTATATCAGCAATATGATGATGAAGCTCATGTATATCACTAATTGTTAACTTACTTTTTTCCACCAGTGAAAGTATCGAGCACAATTGTGGGGGCACATTGGATTAGAGAATCTGTCGAATTTATCAACGAACAGGCAACACAAGATATTTCAGAAGTAACATTGTTTGAGAAGCAAAAGGATAACAATATATATAAACTTTATGTCTACCTAAAATCAAGTCCTTTGCCATCACAATCTTCGCAAAAGTAATAAGCATAAGGATCAGCTCTTAAGAAACGGACCTGTATAGAAGTAAAAAATTTGATTAACCTCACAACTATAGGAAGTAAAGAAAATGTAGTTAAACTTGCAGAAGTTAACTTACTAATGAGTACAATACTTCAATTTGCAGGTGTGCACCAGTTAAGGCCCATTTATATGTAGATTCTAAAGCAAGAACCACTTTTGTGGCGTTGCTGTCTACAGATTGGACATAATGAGCCTATGCCACAGAAGTTCAATCAGTTAAGAAAATTGCAGATAAAATATCTTGTGTCATACGAACTTTAGGAGTTCATGTGTTCCCAATAAAGATTATTCAGCATTTAACAGTACAGGTTTCTTCGTAATCATTATAAGATTCTTCACAGTCTAATAGCATATTATTCAGCAGTTAACGGTATAGGTTTCTTCATAATCACCATACTAATCTCCATATTTACGACTCCAATCACATGATCAATGTGAAGAACTGGTATTTATACAAAAAAAATTGCATAAGCAGAAAAAGAACACGATGTACAGATAGAGAACGCCAATTGAAGAATACAACAACATAACATATGACTTGCCTCATCCAATATTATACGATTCCACTTCACCGAATGCAGAACTGACTTCAACCTGGACACATCATCATCAGCAGGTTTTGAGTTCCTGCTGCGCTTTTTTGAGTTCTTGCCGCCCTTCTTTGACAGTTTGGGCATATAGTCAGCCTCGATAGTGGGGTACGTAGTAATGACAAAATCATATTCCTCCAGTTTGTTCATACATTTCTCCATTTTGGCACCATGATAAACAAAAGTTTTATTGCTTCCTCTAGTGGTGCAACGTTCAATCTCGCGAAACCATTGCATTGCTGCAATCACAGGACATACAACAAGAGTTCCTTTTACTACTGGGAGGAGTTGCTCAGGTGAAGATGACAATGAATCTTTTTGTAATTCGCGTTGAGCAAGCACGAGAGCAATGGCTTGAATAGTCTTCCCCATTCCCGTTTCATCAGCAAGAATACCCCCTTTGATTTGAGAGTTTTCTTGGTTTAATGACCAAGCTAACCACTCCTTTTGGTACCTCAATAATGGCAAGATGAAATTTGATGGTGGCTCAACAGTTTCAGAAAGCGATTCCGCGTTCTGATTACCCAAGTCTAGATCATCTGAATATTTCTTAAGAAGGAATTCATCCATTGTTTGTTCCACTAACTCCCATATCAAAATATTTCCTCTTTCCTTCTGTTTCCTCTTTCGATCATGTTTCCTCTTATTTGTCCTTTTCTTCAATCGATGATAATTTCTTTGGTCTGAGTTGAATGCAGTTTCAGATACATGAACAATTATCAAATTTTACAAACAAATTAGAAAAAGATATGAATGTAAACTTTCAAAATGATTCAAGAAATTCAAGATTTTTGAAAGAGAAGAAGAACCTGAAGGATTCATTTTCCCAGAAAGCAGAGAGAAATCAAACACAATGAAATTAAGAGCTAAGTTGAAATGAAACTACAAGTTGAGCGGGAAGGACTTGCTTATATAGAGTGATTATTTTTTTAAAATTATAATTCCTTTTTATAGTTTTTGTGTATTGAAAAATAATTAATGAAAGTGTGTCGTTTTTAAAAAAATATAATTTTGAAATATAGTTTCAAAAAAATCAGTTAGTGTCCATTTCTTCACAAAGAAAACCAGTTTCAACTAAACATTCACGTGGAAAAGTTGTTTGCCAACCTTTATATAAAAAG